GAACTGACAAACATAGAGACACTGTGTCACCTAAGTATAATCTTTGTTGTAGAAAGGGAAAAGTTCAATTGCCACTACTTAAGGATCCCCCTATGCTTCTCCAGCATCTTTTATTTGATAACGATGTTGATAGCAAAAACTATCAACAACATATTAGAGCGTACAATATGATGTTTGCATTCACATCGCCTGGTGCAAGAATTGACAAGTCTGTCAACGATGGTCGAGGCCCGCCGACATTCAAAATACAGGGCCAAACATGCCATCGAGTGGGAAGCATGTTACCTATGCCAGGTCAACATCCAAAGTTTGCTCAGTTATACATATATGATACTGAGCATGAGATAGAAAACAGGATTCGAGGAATAAGGTTAGCATATGCATTAATTTTATCAACATACACTACATACAAATTTATTAAATTATTATTTCTCATTATACGTGATTATTCAATTGAATTTGATCTCTTTTGTAGAAATCGAAATGACATAAATGAAGAGATTGTGTGCAAATTATCAGCGATGCTACACCAATACAATGTGCACGCAAAATCATTTAGGATGGCTAAGGAAAGACTGCAAGATGCACCTGTGCAAAATCTACGGCTAAAGTTGATTTCTGACAGAGTTAGCGATGGCCGAGTATATAATCTGCCAACGGTTTCAGAAGTTGCTGCTCTTATTGTTGGAGATGTTGACACTTCATCAAAAAGAGACATAATAATGGAGACGCGAAGTCGTAAACTTCAGCGAATTAGTGAGTTGCATACTAGCTATTTGAGTTATCAATATCCTCTTTTATTTCCTTATGGTGAGGATGGATACAGGCATGACGTGCTTCATAGAGATGCGGGTAATTCTAATTCTAATAGTTCTAAAAGAAACCGTCTTACCATAAGGGAGTGGCTTTGTTTTAGACTCCAAACCAGGAAAAAAGAGGCACTCACATTGTTGAGATCAAGACGATTATTTCAACAGTTTGTGGTTGATGGATATACTATGCTTGAGTCAGAGAGGTTATCTTTTATAAGGAGAAACCAAAAAAAGCTAAGAGTTGATAAATACAGTAACCTCACTCAACCAAATAACGACTTACAATGTCAAGGATCTGAAAAGGGAAAAAGAATTGTACTACCATCGACATTTGTAGGAAGTCGCCGATACATGGATCAACTTTACTTCGATGGTATGGCAATTTGCGGTTTTGTCGGCTTTCCTGATTTCTTTATCACTTTCACTTGCAATCCCAATTGGCCTGAGATTCAGAGAGTACTTGAACCATTAAACTTGAAGCCACATGATCGTCCAGATATTCTTGCAAGAGTCTTTAGGATCAAGTTTGAAGAGTTATTAACAGATTTAAGGAAAAGACATATATTCGGGAAAGTTCTTGCATGTAAGTTTTAAATATGAATACATTACATATTTCTTATTCATACTACAATTTACTCTTGCAATTCATTTATTCTAAAATTTTAATTTGCTAATTTATTTCCAGATATGTATACAATCGAGTTTCAAAAAAGAGGACTGCCACATGGTCATATACTCATTTTTTTGCATCCTTCAAACAAGTACCCAACTGCCAATGATATTGATAAGATTATCTCAGCAGAGATACCTGATCAAGAGTCTGAGAAAGAATTATACAACTTGGTCAAAACTCACATGATTCATGGTCCATGCGGTTCAGCGAACCCTTCATCGCCATGCATGCAGGATAGGAAATGCAACAAGTATTATCCTAAGCAATTCCAGGCAAGTTTAGTTTTAATTGGTCTGGTCAGTTTAACTATGATATTATTTTGTTCTATATGATCGCTTCCCAAAAGCAATACACACACAGACACACAATTACTTAAGATATTTGGGATATTTCCATTTAGATCATTACAAAAAGATAATTTAAATTCTATTGCCGTAATAGTTTCATACATTTGCTAATGAATGATAGATAATTACATTAAAATATTACGAAGTACTAATTAATAAATGACTGTAGTATTAAGTATTCATCTTGAAAAAATGTGACTTTTATACAGTCACTACTATTAATTTTAAGCATGTAGGTCCCTCATGAAAAAAATCAAAACTTATACACTGTCACACTGTAGAATAATACTACAAACTAAACATCAATTCCTAATTTTAACAACACATGCAATTTATACATTTATGGTAAAAAAACATCACATTTTTTTTACAATTATCTGTTAAACTTACTCTATCAAAGTCATACATGAGATTAGTGGTGCTAAGAAGTATTAAGTTAAGATTATTCTCTTCCAAAAAAAAGTTAAGATTATTCTCATCACTTTAGAATAGAAATACATAACATTTACAATGTTTCAGGAATTCACGACACTTGACGAAGATGGTTATCCTATTTATAGGAGAAGACAAAATGGAAGAGAAGTAGAAAAATCTGATATTATCTTAGACAATCGTCATGTTGTGCCTTATAATCCAAAATTGCTGTTAAAGTACCAAGCCCATATCAACATGGAATGGTGTAATCAAAACACTTCGATCAAATACTTATTCAAATATATCAACAAAGGATATGATCGGATTACAGCAGTTATTGTTCCAACACGCGATGATGAGTCTCCACAAAATGAGACTATTGATGAGATCAAGCAATATCTTGATTGCAGGTATGTCTCACCATGTGAGGCCTGTTGGAGGATTTTTTCTTTTCCGATTCATGGTAGGTCTCCAGCTGTTGAAAGACTTTTCTTTCACCTTCCCAATGAGCAGTCTGTGTTCTTTAGTGACAATGACAACCTGGATTCGGTTCTAACAAAAACAACTGTTAAAGAATCAATGTTTACATCTTGGATGCAAGCAAACAAAATCTATCCTGAAGGAAAAGATTTGACCTATGCAAAATTTGTTTCACGGTTTGTGTATGTAACTAGCAAGAGGTGCTGGAAACCGCGAACAAAGGGTTACACTATTGGTAGACTCATTTGGGTACCTCCAACCACAGGTGAATTATTCTATTTAAGAATGATGCTCACTGTAATAAAGGGGCCATGTTGTTATGAGGATATCAGGACGGTTGCCAACATTCAATATCCAACCTTTAGAGAAGCGTGTTTTGCAGCGGGATTGCTTGGGGATGATAAAGAATATATTGGAGCATTAAAAGAAGTTAAGGACTGGGCATCAGGTCACTACTTGAGAAAATTGTTTGTAACTCTGCTCTTATCATGTCCCGTGAGCAGACCTGAGCATGTATGGGAACAAACTTGGCAGTGGTTGGCAGATGGAATTTTGTATCAACAACGAATGCTCTCGAATATCCAAGGTAGACAACCGATCAATTAAAAATTAAATTTTCACTAATCATTTGTAAAATGACAAGTTATTCATGAAGCCTACCCAACCAAAAAAATTATAAGATTTGTGAGTAAGAGTATTACCCTAAATTCCATTCACCATATATTTAAATTCGAATACAGAACATAAAGTATATATGATTAGTTTGGCAGATATGTCTTACTCTTTCTAAATTTCCACTAATTATACAAGTAAATAATTTAGCAAAAGCTAAAATTAATTATTTACTATTACCATAAATTAACATTATTTCCAGATTACCCCAATCAACTTTTCTTATCTTAGGTATTAAAATCATTTCACGTATCAAGTAACATATAATTTATTTCACCTATCAAGTAACATATAATTTGTCATTCATTTGGATAAAAGAATATATTCAAATAAAAATATTTCATGATTTTAATTGTCTGCATATCTCATTGTCATTCATTTGCATCACTTTGACAAATTAAATTATTTACAATAAAAACATAAGTAGAGTAGACACATACACATGAACATCTTCTTCTAATTATAAATTTAATTGTGTTTATTACATTTGTAGATTTACAGCTTAGTGATCAAGAGTTGCAAAATTTAACTCTTCTGGAGATCGAGAAGTTGATGCAAAAAAAGAGAAAAAGTCTAAAAGACTATCCCTCAATACCATATCCAAATGGATATATCACAGAACAACTAGGAAATAGGCTTATTTATGCAGAACGTGATTATGATACATCCAAATTGCGTGAGGAGTTCCAAACTTTGTATGCTTCTCTTACCGGTAAGATAAATACAATTCATATGATTTATAAGTCAAATTAAGTGAATTTGACTGTAAAAAAGAAAAATGGTTTTATGCATATATTTTTATGCTAATATTGCAGATGAACAAAAAGGCATATTTGACACAATAATGGAAGCTGTGACTAACCAAAAAGGAGGGGTATACTTTTTATATGGTTATGGTGGTACAGGGAAAACCTTTATGTGGAGGACATTAGCTTCTGCCTTACGTTCTCAGCGTCATATTGTTTTAACTGTCGCATCCAGTGGTATTGCTTCTCTACTCTTACCTGGCGGTAGAACTGCACACTCTAAATTTTCAATCCCAGTTCCTACTCTAGAGAACTCTACATGCAATATACATCAAGGGAGTGAACTTGCAGAGCTTTTAAAACAGACTAAGTTGATAATTTGGGATGAAGCAACAATGGCTAATAGATTTTGTTTTGAAGCACTAGACAGAAGCCTAAATGACATCATCAACAATGATGATGATTCTATTTCACCATTCGGAGGAAGAGTGGTTGTCTTTGGAGGAGACTTCAGACAAACTTTACCAGTTATTCCTGGAGGAAGCCGTTCAGACATTGTTAATGCTACAATCAATTCTTCATATCTATGGGATGACTGTCAGGTAATAACACCATTTTAGTACCACAACCAATATGTTTACTGTTACTATAATTTACAAATTCATTTTACCACAATATACCATAATAACTAACCTAAAAAACCTTAAAAAAATTATTCATTCGTTCACTTTTACTTTAAATAAAGTACAAGTAATTATATTAATTGTTTAACTATTTCAAATAATCAGTTTGTAAGTTTTTTTAGTAATTACTTTATAAGTTATACTCAAATATAAGTATTTTTTTTTATTGATAGGTATTGTCTCTTACTAAAAATATGCGACTCCAAAATAATTTGGATATGACAAGTGCTACCGAGCTCAAAGAATTTTCAAAATGGATATTGGATGTGGGAGATGGAAAAATATCAGAGCCAAATGATGGTTATGCAGAAATAAAGATTCCAGATGAGTTTTTGATTAAAGAATTTGATGATCCAATAGATGCAATAGTCCGTAGCACGTATCCGAACTTGCTGGAGCAATACAAAAATGAGGAATTTCTCAAGTCTAGAGCTGTCTTGGCATCAACTATTGAAATTGTCGATAAAATTAACGACTATGTTCTTTCAACGCTCCCAGGTAATATTATAAAAATGCTACTTTCCTTATTTACTTACAAAATAAATTCTTAAAAAAAATTAATAATTAAATTAAGACTATAGACTTTTACAACTACAGGTGAAGAAAGAGAATATTTAAGTTGCGATTCTGTAGACAAGTCGGATGTAGTTGAAGCAGAAGCATTTGAAGCGTTGACACCAGAGTTTCTCAATTCCTTGAGAACATCAGGTCTCCCAAATCACAACATACGACTTAAGGTTGGGACTCCAGTAATGTTGCTAAGAAATATAGACCAATCAGAAGGACTATGCAATGGAACTAGATTGATTGTCACAAGACTGGGTAATCATGTCATTGGAGCAAGAATCATGTCTGAAGGCAATGGTGGAGATGAGATTTACATACCTCGAATGTGTATGTCTCCTTCTCAATCACCATGACCTTTTAAACTTATCAGAAGACAATTTCCTATAATGGTCTCATATGCGATGACAATCAATAAATCTCAAGGACAGTCACTGGAAAGAGTTGGATTATACTTGCCTAGACCTGTTTTTAGTCATGGACAATTGTATGTGGCATTGTCAAGAGTTCAGAGCAAACATGGATTGAAGATTTTAATACATGATAAGGATGGTAAATCATTAGACACTACTACGAATGTTGTATTCAAAGAGGTTTTCCAAAATCTCTAACACGTATGTTTAATATTTTATTTATTAATTATTTTATTAACTTACACTTTATGATATTGAGATGTTGTACTTACTTTTAAGAAGAAATGCAATTTTTTGAAATTATTTTCTTTTCTAATTGATTAGATCATGATTGCAAATATATTCATCGATTATTTCCCGTGCGTATGCACGGGTACTGTACTAGTAGAGTACAAAACTTGCCCTCGCTGGTGTGGTGTGCAATACTTAAGATGATGTACGAAATTGAAATTTTGTTTCAATTTATGTATTTATGTGTTACGATGATATTAAGATTCTTCTTCATATATATTGGGATTGATAAAAATATATAGCAAACTCTACACTCTGAAATTTCAAACAATGCATACAAAATTTCCGTAAATTTTGGGAAATGTACGGAAAAGGAACTTGTGGTTGAGCCCGTTTTCAGATAGGGTGATGTGTTTCATTTTTTATCAAAGTGGTTCATGTGTTTGAATTCCGTTATCACAAGAGGGTTATGCCGTAAAAAACTCCCGAGAAAGACGATTAATAGTAACCCCGATTTTAAAAAGTCTCCGGAAAATTAAAAGAAAAATACCGGAAGGTGCGTCTCGTCAAGATGACCTCCAAACCATCTTCAATTCGCCTTTGGATTGTTCGGATATGTTTGATTTTTTTAAAAAACAAAAATGATTTCACTATTATTACTTTTCCGCTACTTTTCCGGTGGACTTTCACGTGACAAGGATGGCTGGAAACAAAAAGAAATAAAGATGGACAAACAGCTGTCTTGTTGAGACGCACCTTTCGCTATTTTTCTTTAAATTTTTCGAGCACTTTTAAAAATTGGAGTTACTATTAACCGTCTTTCTCAGGCATTTTTAACAACGTGACCCTCTTGTGATAACGGAACTCAAACACATGAACCACTTTGATAAAAAATGAAACACATGACCCTATCTGAAAACGGACCCAACCACAAGTACCTTTCTGTTCCTTTTCCGTACTTTTCCCCATATTCTATAATAATTGTTTTCTCTATTCTGTTGAGCCGTTGAACTAATTAAACATCACTTTTGTTTTAGAATTAATGAAAAATTTAGAAATTGTAGCACTTGAAATAGGAGATACCTAACTTGCTATTATAATTTACTAACGCCATTATATGTCATTTTACCTATTAACCGCTTAGACAGAACATCTCATTACCGAACATCATTTCGCAACCTGCCAAATTTAATCTGGTAGACAAATATTCCAATTAAACCCGATATAAATTATCGGCTGACAAAATCAGCTAACTGCTAAGTACTGATTGTCAAACATGTCCGAAAAGTTAGTCATCCTTAAATATTTTATATATGAGATTAATTGTTCACGTAAAACAACATTGTACCGCTTATTTTGTACATTAAAAAAAAGATCCAAATCGGAGAGATCTAGATCAGACCAGGTTCGAAAGATTCAGATTGGTCTCATTTGGTTTCATTTGAATTGTTCTAGTAGATGTCTAGTCTATGTGTGTTTACATCTGTTGAAGTCTGATATGATCTGTTTGAGTCTGATCTAATATTTTTAAAAACATCGTTAGTGCTCTGTTTTAGAAAATTCAAGTATAGAGTACAAAACTTACTCTCGCTACTTTGGTGTGCAATACTTAAGATGATGTACAAACAAAAATGTTGTTTCAATTTATATATTTGTGTGTTAAGATTATATTGAGATTCCTCTTCAGATATATTGGGATTGATAAAATATATAGGCATATAGCAGAATCTACGCTCTGGAATTTCAAACATGACAATGCTTACAAAAATTTAATTATATATATTTTGTAATAATTGTGTTTTCTATTCGGTTGAGCCGTTGAACAAATTAAACATCACATTTCTGTGATAATTAATGAAAAATTTAGAAATTGTAATAGTTGAAATAGGAGATATATACCTAACTTGCTAGAAATATTTAGTGAGTAAAGCACTCGCATCCAACATAGTCCTTCAATTGGATTGTTGTGTTAAGAACTGTTACTTCATAATAAAGAAGCGCATACTGTTTAGTGAGTTATTTTGCTTTATTTCATTATATTCTCAAATCAAAAAAATATGAACCTTTGATTGCATTGAAAATGATGAAAAGTCCAAAGTCAATCAAAAAAGGGCGCAAAATCAAATTCCCCAATGTCAAAACAATATGAATATGATCTGATCGACTACACTTTTAGTGCATAGAAAATTCGAAAGTGTACTTATAATAAGTCATGCATTATACATGGTCAAAAACATACTTAAAGTCCGGTTAGTCCGCTACTCTACTTGAAAGGCTAGCTAACATGACGCAGATGCCACCTCGAGTGGGTAGGGATAAGTATTAGCATACATGAAAGAGATCCAACCTCCGGAGGGGAGTGGCGCGCCGTCGTTGAGGAGGCAATCATCGTATCCGACACGGCGGAAGACGGACGGGTCGATGAGCCGGGCGGAGCTGAACCAGCCGCAGTGGAGGTGGATGTTCGAAATGCTGCAGCTTTCGTCGTCACAGAGGTTATTTATCACCACCGTGTAGGTTGGAATGCCATTGGGCATCGGCTTAGTTTGTTGCTGGTCAACTTCTATATCGTCGTCCGTGCATCCGCATGCTCCCTCATCCATTCTATTCGTTGACTTTGACCCTAAACCCGAACCCTGACCCGAAGTGGAGTTTGATCCAAACCTTTTACCCAAGCCAGTGTTTTTGGTACCATTGTAATCTGTCGTTTATGCACACCACATCAATTATTTATGAAGTACAAGATATTTACATAATAGAGAGTATACATAAACAAAAGGCATAACAGAGTTTACGATGTTTTTAATTGAACTGTAAATTTGGTTTGGTTCTGTTCAGATTAATTAATCTAGTCTGGTATGATCTTGTTTGATCTGCTTTCATTTGCTCTTGAATTCAAAAAAGTCAAATAAAAACATCTCCACACATATGGGGTATGATTTAATTACATAACAGTCCATTTCTTTTTTGGAGTACATACAATGCAATCGTTTATAAGAGGTTGAGAGATTTTTCGTCAAATTTACGGGGAAATCCCGTTTGGATGAAAAGAATAAAGCAATATTTATGAAGTCTATTAATTACTTAATTACGAACACTATGAAAGTTCCCGAAATAGGACTAAAACAGTTTGAAAATTCCAAAATAGGACTGTCATGTTTGTTATTCCCAAAATAGAAGTAATTACTGCCAAGTTTGGAAAATACTGCCATTTTTGAAGTCTGGTACTGCCAAAATATGGCAGTAATTAGTCATATTTTGGAAATAAAAACATATCAGTCCTATTTTGAAATTTCCAAACATTTTTAGTCCTATTTTGGGTAAATTCTCTTTTGTTTATGTTTAGAATATGATCAGTATTGCATTAATTTTTATTAGAAATTGATTAATAGTTGGGAGATTACCTTAAATGGAACTAAAACTTGTTGTATGTTTCAAAATAGGGTCATCATGTTTTTATTAACAAAACATGACTAATTAGTAATTACTATCATGTTTTGGTAATACCAAACTTTAAAAATTGAAAGTATTTTTCAAAATTGACAGTTATTACTCTTATTTTGGAATAAAAACATAATCATGTTTTGTAATTTTTAAACTGTTTTTCTCCTAGTTGAGGAATTTTTACCTTTGAGAGTTTCATGTTTCTTGGTTTAAAAAAAAAGCAGAACGGTCGTAATATTAATTAAAAGTGTTTAACCATAGCCCTAATTAATGGACGTGGTTAACAAGAGGTGTCATGTTCTATATCTTACTGGCCTTCGTAAATTCTTTGTGGATATAGTAAGATCAGATTTAAATTTTCTTTTTGTTTCCATTCTAAATGCCAAAGAAAAACACCGAGAAGATAAATAGCATACTCATTTACCATGGAGTAACAACTTCCTAGAAAGAGTGGGAATGAAACTTCCATTGGGAATGATGAGCTTTACTTTTCCAACTTCTCGAATGGCGCCTTCTTCATTTACTTTATCCCAACCGTCATAAATGGCCTTAAAAACTGCATTATCATTCGTCAACTGTCTTTTGGGTTCAAAACTCTCATGAATTATTACCCAGCTATTCAAGAATGAAAAGGAAAAGTGTATATTTATTTCTCCCAATAAATTTGGCAATACAATATATTAATTAAAAATCAATACACTATTACAAACACAATATACGAAGTACAAATTATGTTTTTTTACAATAAGTACAAATTATGTTATCAATTAACACTTACTTATTTAATAATTAATTCTTTTTGTTGAGGGGTAGGGATATGAGGTATGCAGGAGAATGAGGGAACAAAATAGACAAACACGAATTAGAAATTTAGAATCATAAAAAAATGGTTACTTCTTCATCAATTAGATGGTCGAAAGAATGATTTTAGAGAACTTGAAGTGAAAGGAGAGTATCTATATTTGGGACTATTGATCTTATTTTGTCTATTTACCTTTTTGTTTATTTATTGTTTTTAGCTCTATTAACACATTTTGATTTATGTTAGTCGATCACTCAACCCCGTACTTTTTTAGGTATAGCATTAGGATGTTGTTGTTGTTGTCCTGTATTTAATTTCCAAAATTAACAGTAATTTGTAAAAATAATTTGAAAGGGATTAAATTGGGAGCATAAGTTCAAAATGTGAGTTTTACTCTGAACTGGAGGGGTACTTAAATAAGGGTGCCTATGAATTAAAAAATGACAAAAGTATTACTAAGATATACGAAGTATATAGAAGAAGCAAAATTGAAAAAAAAATGACCATGACTATTTCAACGGAGCAGTGAGTATTTTGGTGCTGAAAGTATCTATCTGGGCTTTTTTTGTGATTACATATCTTAATAGCATCATACGTAGTAATATTTACAAAATATTATACAAAAACATTGCTAAAGAAAAAAACTAAACCTGAATATGATAAAAAATAATTTATAAATCAGAAATCATGCCGTTGATAAAAATGAAAGAGGCAAATATAATTTTGAAGCAATCTGGCCATTTAATTTATTGTTCTATGTCTTTGTATGCATAATATCACTGTGCATGCAAGTTATAGTATTAGTAATAAATCGGTGTCACAAATGTAAATAGATAAAATTGAAAAAAAATACCAAAGAGTGAAACCAGCATGCATATCACAAAAACCAGGAATAGGCAGGTAATCTTCTTCCAGGCATTCATTGTGATTTGAAGCTAGCTAGCTAAGAGCTCGAGCCACCAGATCAGATTTCATCAAAGCATACCCAACCTGCTGATTGAAGTATAAGGCTACATATATTTGGTTCTCACAAAATTAATTATTATAAAATTCTTCCTAGAAAGACAGATAGATAAGGTTGAAAAGTAATCAAGTTTTAAGAGTATATGTGTTCATCTAAATAAAATAGATTCAGTGGAACAAGATCAATTCGATGTATAATAAATAGATAAGAGGATGAATGCTTCCAACTTTGGGCGTCGGAAGGAAATGATACTATACCTTTAAAATAATCAGAGGCGTAATAATTATAGGTAGCAAGATGGAGGAAAGGGGGATCTATAGCTACTAGCAAGGGAACAACATTCACCTTTACGAGGCCGGCACTTGTTTCTATAAAAGCATGCGAACTCTGCTGCATGCTTAGTGTCTGTTTGCAACAGCTTCTGCTTAAAAAAAATGTTTTTTTAATGAAATGAGAAGAAGTGATTAAATAAAAGTTGATAGTGTTTGAGAAAAAAGTGATTTTGAAAAGTAAAAATTGGTAGTGTGTGGTAAAATAAGTGCTTTTTGTGTAATAGAAAAAGTAAAAGCACTTTTGACACGAAAGCCAAGAAAAATAAAAATTGTAATGCTTGGTAAAAGAAGTGCTTTTTAAAGCGAAAAGCCGATAAATGTTTTTTTAAAGCGTTTGCAAACCAACTTTTAACCTATTGCGTTCTTAGATTTGGAGATTTATCAAACAAGCCATGATTCAGATGGGATTTGACAATATGTGGGTGGAGAAGATTATGGAATGTGTAATTACTACGGAGTATAAGCTATTCATTTATAATTAATGTAAACGGTGCAAGGCAGTGTGCACCAATTTAGAGATCTCCAATGCTAGAATATGCACGGTGCACATGTGACATGAGAGATAATCACATAAATATTAGCAAATAAGTTATTTCTCTCTTTATTTGAATGATTTTATACAATTTTGGTAAATTTTTTCCTGCAATGTAAACATCTAGTCGGTCTCTTTGACATTGTGGAGAAAAACTTACCAAAACTATATAGTGAGGGGCGTTTACATGCATGGAGTTAGAGTGTCGGGGTGCCCCTCAAATAAATATCTCTTCTCTTTTTCGCGATGACAGTATAATGTTTGCCACGACAAATGCCGATGAGGCTTCAATTGTTGTTGATATAATTAAAACTATGAAGCTTCCAGATGAAAAATCAATTTAATAGTGTCTCTTGGTATATATTACTCCTACAATTTTAATGGTATTGATATTATAAACAAAACATATTCATAATTTATGTGAAGTAATTGAACAATCAGACTCTTTTTTTCATTGTTTGAATTGAAATAAATGTTGAATTTCTTATTTTCTATATTGGACAAGTTACATTTCAAGTGACCGGCATTTCATTTTTCATCAACGTGAGTTACATTTTTTTAAACGCGAGTTACATTACCCTACTACTGAAACAAAAAAAAAATGTTCAAGTGTGTTACTGTTCGTGCGTGTTTTAGTTGTGTGAGTATCATACTCACCATGGACATCTCCCACTGTATAACAATTAGGGGTATGCCCCGGTCTAAAACCGGACCAGAACCGGTTTGGACCAGAATCGGAATCATCATTTTAATTGGACCGAAGACCGGGCCTTATACTAAAGACCAGACTGACCTAGGCCCAAATTTTCCGGTCCAGTCCGATTTTGATCCTAATTGACCCGGTATTTTGAAAAATGTATCTTAAACAGTTGTTTAAAACTTCAATCTTATGTGCTAGATAGACTAAATAAGTTTTAACTCATTTATCAATTTAGGCATATAATTATGAAAGGTAACAATTAATTTCCCAAATTAAATGAGTTTAAAACCTACTCCCCCGCCCCCTAATATTGAGCCGGAAGAGAGTGGTGTGGTTTTTAAGAAAAGTAGAATTATATGGTTGATAATGAGTTGATAAAGTGGGAATAAAATAAGAATGAATTAGAGCTACACAAATGTTATCAAATATGATATGAGACAATAATAGGGGGCATCTAAAACAGGAAAAATGAGGCAATCATAGGGGGGCTGAGGGAGTACAGTCTTTCATGTACACTAAAATGGCAAAATGTGAGTAACCTAATAAAAACTAAATCACATGCATGTTCAACAATATATAAACTATATTCATAGTACACACTTGCAGACAAAGAAACAAATGAAAAGCAACACACTATGCATTTAGGATAGATTTACCTTTTGGTCAGCCATTTATCCCCTTAAATGAAGATCCTCAAGGCCTAACAGGAAAGGGGCACCAGACGCTCGTCGCTAGGCTCCGAAGCCCATCAGGGGCAGTTATCCCCAACGTCTCATCAAAGGATGCTCAGCCTCAGTGGCCTTTGCTATTATGGCTATGTAGTGCACTCCAACATCCATAACCAAATGACATGCAGAAGATGCTCGGCTCCTATCCCTTGCTTGATCCATCGCCGAGAGAAGGTCCAAGACTCGGGGGAACGCTCGTCCCCAAGCCTTGGCGGGAAACCCAAGATTCTGGCGGGAAGCACATTTAATGCTAAAGATTTGGTGGTTGGGAGCCTAGCCATCTACAACCCTTCACGCGCAGCGCACCTACCTACCCCTTGGTAATATAAATAGTAGCATTTATTTCATTGGAAAGGATTGGCAACTTATTCTCCCTAGCATTCAAGCACTCTAGCTTTATTCTCAGCTCTTACTTAGCGATAAAGACACGATCGGCCTCAGACCAGGCGGCTTAGTGTGTTGTATACAGACCCTTAATATCATTTAATAAGATACGACCCACTGCTGCAGATATACTTTAACTCATCTTACTTGCTTACATTTCATATTCACTAACACTTTACCACGTGAAATCGTTGGGTTACGTGTTGGGCCCCCGGATTGAAGGAATAAATTTCAACAAGCATATATGCAAAAATTTAATTATTTATTGTTCTTTCAAATTTTAATTGTACAAAAGAATGAACGCCCAAAATTTGAATCATAAATCCGCCACTGTGTAGCAGCGCAGGTTACCAATTCCGTAAATGTCAAATATATACTCCATCTATATATATATATATATATACTAGTTTAGCAACGCGCGATGCGCGTTCGTGTAAATGCCCAAGACCATTTAGGCATATTGATTAATGGTCGGGGTTAGATTGGGTGAATATGTGAGTATTATGAGTAAACTATTTAGTATACACTGTTTTTCAGAAGGCAACTCGTTCACCATTTCTTCTCTTACTTTTCCACTTCGCTTCCATTACTTTCCACTTTTTTATTGAAAAAAATAGTTCTACTCCTTTGCAATATCATGATATTCATTCAATGGGTTATATCTCATGCAATATGCAAATATCGACTTGAAATCAGCAATTCCTCAATACTGGAGTATAAGTTGTGTTTTAACGTTAATTTAACCATGCCCAGATCCATAGGGTTAGTGATTATATATCAAAATACTCCATCCGGAATGTTCAAAGCAACAAGATCTACAAGTTTTAGGAAAGCCCACCCTAGTTTGTGAGTCATTAGGCCTTTGAGAATAGTTCCACATTGTTGCTTAACACTCCTATTCATTTTCCACCTCTTCACCTTTTCAGCATCAACCGTTACTTGGAGTCCTCTCTTATTAGAGTTGGCTGGTACAGGTACAAATGTAAACACATGACAACTAAAATCCAACAAAGAATACGGAAACAAAGAAACAAAGAAACAAGACGATCAAGGAAAAGAAACTATGGTAATTTAGGAATGAATTGGATTTAAATGTAAAGGAAATATGTAATTAAATTAATTAGGAGAGGATGAAGAACTTACAAAGGGATGCCAATATAAGAAGAGGGAGCGAGGGGTTCACTGGGCTTATTTTAGTAGGTCACCTTAATAATAGAAATGTTAAAAAATATGACATTTCATAACTTCACTACACAAAGGTGTCTTCTTTGGCTACCCAAAACCGACATGTTGTTTTTGTTTAGGCTGTATGTACCAGAAGAGCAGATTTCAGCACTGCAATACTCTTCAAAAATTAAAGCTTTAGACTTTACAAAAACATGTTTTAGCAGCTCAATACTCAACAAAATCACAGCTTTAAGCCATATAAAACGAAGGTTGTCAGCAACTAATTACTCATCCAAATATATAGGTTTAGGCAGTCTAAAATGCAATTTTATGTAGTTCAATACTCAACGAAATTACAGTTATAAGTTGTATAAAAATGCAGCGATGAGAACACAAGCCATGACTGAGATAGAGCTATCCCTAATGACCTGAGAAGGAGTCATCGAACAATTGATTGTGCAGATATAGCTTCCTCGTATCTCCCTCCCATCATCGCTCTCTTTCCTGAAACTCATTCTTTCCTGTCTTTCATTCCCCTCTTTCTGCAATCCATGCCGACAATTGAAGAGACAAAAAAACCACATCTCAGAATTTCGTTGACATTCGAAGAAGAATATCATGATGGGTTGGGCGGAATTGAAGGGAGAGAAGTATGGACAGACGACCTCCCTTCTAGATGACGATTTCAGTCATTGAATTGGCGACGGAATTCACCGAGCGATTCCAGTCATTGAACCACCTTTGCTCCGCCCAAGTCGCTGATCTCCTCCAACGTGGATGTCGTCTCCATGAGTACAAATCAAGCGCTCTCTTGGCCCGCCAGGGATCTCCTCTTCGGGCCGATGAAAGGGTTCATCCATCTGGCTGCACCTCTGCGCCGCCCAAGCGCTCATGACCGGAAAGGAATGTTTAAATTAAATTACTCCGTATTACTTAGTTGAGTTAAAAGTCTGCAATTTACGGAAGCAAAACAGATGCAATTGACGGCAAAGCTAACTCCGTCTTCAATCCCCTTGACCCAGTTACCTTACCATAACCGCTTATATGCCTCACGTACAATCCGCGGAAGCAAGAGAGACACGAACATTTTTTTGTAAGACCATTCTAACCCTAACAATATTCATGCTTATATAATTGTAGATATATATATATGATGCGATATATCATGCGTGGTATATGTGCTATTTACCTTAAAACACCACCTTATTTTTGAATCATGAATCCGCCACTTTTTGCTCAAACACCACCTTGTTTTGAAAATCTTCAACATATATTTCACCCTTAAAAAACTATATCAGGTTTAATTTCTTTTGTTGCTTCAGAAATTTTCTTGAAAGATGTAAGAAATAATCATAAAATAACTGAAAGATGTAAGAAATAATCATAAAATCTTGATTTTAGCACTCGAATCTACTTAAGAAAAATTTTGAGCCAAAAGTACATGTACTTTCGGTGACACTTAAAGTGTCACTAATACGAGAACGGTTTTGTGTA